AAAATTTTAAATCAGGGAGTGAAAGGCGCCCCTCCCCCCAACACACACACCTTGTTCTTCTTCTTAAGCAGTGTTTTGCTTATTCTGGGTCTCTTTCCTTTCCATATAAAGTTTGTAATTGTTTTTTCCATCTCTTTGAAGAATGTCGTTGGAATCTGGATTGCGATTGCATTATATGTGTAAATTCCTTTCGGCCGTATTGACATTTTCACAATGTTAAGTCTACCTATCCAGAAGCATGGTATATTCTTCCATTTTTGTAAGTCTCTTGGTTTCTTGCAGTAGTGTTCTGTAGTTTTCTTTGTATAGGTCCTTTGTTTCTCTGGTTACATTTATTCCTCAATATTTCATCCTTTAGGTGGCTATTTTAAATGTCCTTTTCAGCACTGTTATTTTTGGTATAGAGGAACCTTACTGATTTTTGAGTGTTCATCTTATACCTTGCCACTTTGCTGAATTCTCCAATGAGGATTTTTTACTGAGTCTTTGGGATTTTCTATATACAGGATCATATCATCTGCAAATTGAGAGAGTTTTACTTCCTCTTTGCCATTTTGGATGCCTTTGATCTCCCTATCTTGCCGTATAGCTCTGGCTAAGACTTCCAGCACATTGAATAGGAGTGGTGACAACGGGCATCCTTGTCTGGTTCCTGTTCACAAAAAGGCTTTCAGTTTCTCTCCATTGAGAGTAATGTAGGCTGTTGGTTTTGTATATAGTCTCTTGATTATGTTGAGGAATTTCCCTTCGATTCCTACTTTGTTGAGTATTTTTATTAGGAAAGGATGTTGAATTTTGTCAAATGCCTTTTCTGCATCAATCGATATGATCATGTGTTCTTTTCCTTTCTTATTTATATGATGGATTACATTGATTGTTTTTCTAATGTTGAACCAGCCTTGCATCCTTTTATGAAACCCACTTGGTCATGATGCTTTTTTTTTTTTTTTCTTTTGATGTGCTGCTGGATTTTTTTGGCTAAGATTTTGTTGAGATTTTTGCATCATTTTCATGAGGGGTATTGGTCTACAATTTTCTTTCTTAGTGATGTCCTTCCCAGATTTTAGTATGAGGATTATGCTTGCTCCATAAAATGTATTAGGAAATTTTCCATCCTCCTCTATATTCTGGAATAATTTGAGTAGAATTGTTGACAACTCTTCCCTGAATGTCTGGTAGAGTCCACCAGTGAAGCCGTCTGGACCTGGACTTCTTTTGGTTGGGAGTTTTTTGATGATCTGATCAATTTATTCTATTGTTACGGGTCTGTTCAAGTCTTCTAGTTAACTCTGTGTGAGTTTAAGTAAGTCGTGTTTTTCAAAAAATGTAATCATCTCTTCTAAGTTTTCAAATTTGTTGGATACAACTCTTCATAATATTCTGTTATCATCCTTTTGATTTTCTTTGGTTCTCTTGTGACATCACCCATGTAGTTTCTAATGCATGATATTTGTGTCTTCTCCCTCTTTTCTTTTGTTAGGTTTGCCAATGGTTTGTCAATTTTATTAATCCTTTCAAAGAACGAGCTTCTTGTTCTGTTGATTCCTTCTAGTTTTTTTGTTTTCTTTCTCATTTGTTTCTGCTCTGATCTTTATTATTTCTTTTCTTTTGGTGACTGTAGGTTCCTTCCGTTGGCCTGTTTCTAGTTGCTGGAGATGTTGTGTTGTGTTAATTTTTATTCTTCCTTCTTTTTGGATGTGTGAATTTATTGCAATAAAATTTCCTCTCAGCACAATTTTCACCATGTCCCAAAGATTTTGGTATGTTGTTTTCGTTTTCGTTTGTTTCTAGGAACTTTCTGAATTCACGTTTAATTTTTTCTATTACCCAGTCGCTCTTCAGCAGGGTGTTATTCTGTTTCCATGTATTAAATTTTATTTCCTTGTTCTTCTTATTGTTGATTTTTAATTTTATGGCATTGTGGTCTGAAAAGATGCTTTGTAGTATTTTGATGTGTGTAAATTTATGGAGGCTTGCTTTGTGACCGAACACATGGTCAATTCTGGAGAATGTTCCATGTGCACTGGAAAAGAATGTATATTGTGCTGTTGCTGTGTTGAATGCTCTGTACACATCTATGAGGTCAAGTTGGTTGATTGTGCTGTTTAGTTCCTCTGTAGCTTTGTCGAGTTTCTTTCTGGTTGTTCTGTCCCCTTTCAAGCATGGCCTACTAAAATCTCCCATTATAATTGTAGATTTATCTGTTTCTTTTTTCAATTCTAGTAGGGTTTGCTTTATATATCTTGGTACTCTTTCATTTGGAGTGTAGATGTTGATTATAGTTATGCCATCTTGCTCAATTGGCCATCTAATCATGAGATAGTGTTCTTCTTTATCTCTTATGCTGTTTTTTTGCATTAAAGTTAATTTTGCATTAAATTTAATTATATTGCCACTCCTGTTTGTTTTTCATTGCTGTTAGCTTGGTATAATTTTTTCCATCCTTTAATCTTTAGTCTGTTTTTGTCTTTGTGTGTAAGGTGTGTCTCCTTGTAAGCAACATATTGAAGGGTCTTGTTTCTTATCCATTCAGCCACTCTCTGTCTCTTCACTGGTGCATTTAATCCATTGATATTCAGTGTAGTTATCGATAGGTATGGATCAACTGCTGTCATTATGTTAATTTTTGTGGTGCCATTTGTTCCTTTGTTCTGCATGCCTTCTTGTGCTGGGTTCATGTTTTTTTGTACTATTTCTTGTTTTTTCTTAATTTTAATGCTTCCTTGTTCTGCTTGGATCTTCATTTTCATGGTAAATTGTGAAGTATTAATTTTCTTTGGGGTTACCCTATAGTCTCTTAAGTTTTCCCTGCATTTAAGACAGTCTATTGTATCCTGCAATCTACCCGACCTCCCCACCACCTGGATCTCTGTTCCTATATTTTTCCCTCCTTTGACATTATTTTGATCTTTGGTTGGCCTCACAGGTCCTCTGAATTCATTGCTGTAATTTTGTTCTGTTCCAGGTGGTGTTGCCTCATCTGTCAGTCTCTGGTTGTTGTCTGTTCTTGCTGGTTTTCGTTCCAAAGAACTCCCTTTAGGATGTTTTGAAGTGCTGGATTGGCTTTGACAAAATCTCTTAGCTTCTGTTTATCCTGGAATGTTTTGATTGCACCATCATATTTGATTGACAGGTTTGCTGGATAGACGATCCTTGGTTGACAGGGTTTTTTTCTTTTAGGGTCTTATATATGTCTTCCCATTGCTTTCTTGCCTGCATGGTTTCTGCTGAGAAGTCAGAGCTTATTCTGATTTGCTTGCCTTTGTAACACTTCTCTTTTCCCTGGCTGCTTTTAGGATTCTCCTCTTGTCTTTGATTTTTGAAAGCTTGATTATGATATGTCTTGGTGGTTTTCTTTTGTGGGTCTATCCTTCCTGAGGCTCTTTCAGCTTCTTGAATGTTTATTTTCTCATTCTTCAAGATGTTAGGAAAATTTTCTTCCAGAAGCTCTTCAACAATCTTTTCTGTTGACTTCTGTGATTCTTCCTGTTCTAGTATGCCAATAATTCTTAGGTTATTTCTCTTCATGTTATCCAGCACGAATCCTAGACTCTCTTCAGATTTTTTCATCATTTTTGCAGCTTGTTCTTCTGTCTTAGCAGTGTCTTCCAGATCACTCGTTCTGGCTTCTATCTCTTCCATTCTACTCCTTTGCCCTTTCAGTGTATTGTCCATTTCTGATATTTTATTATTCATCATGTGAATTTCTTTTTGCAGGTTTTGGATCATTTCCAATGCCATATCTATCTTGTTTGATTGCTCCTGTAGCACTTTCCTGACTTCTTCCTTATTTTCCTCCACCCCTTTTCAGAGCATTTGAATTTGTTTCCATATCATTCTTCTTAATTCCTTCTCAGGAAGATCCAGAGCCTGCTCTTCTACTGGAAAGTCTGTGTCTGCTTCCAGCTCATTTGTCTCAGTTACTTTTTTCTGTTTTTGGACATGTGTTAAGATCTTTAATTGTATTTTCTTGGACATTTTCAGCAACTATGTGGGTTTTTAATGCTTAAATGGATGTATGCTGCTTTGTTGTTAAGCTTACTAAGTGTATCCTGGTGGCTATGATCTGGAGATAGGCTTCCTTTTTCACGTGTAATGCCTAGAAGCTGGTTTTGGTTCTTGTCCAGTTGGTGGGGTATTACAGCATATGCTTATAGCTTGCCTATATGAGAACAGTTGCTGTCCCTTCCTGGGTAAGGTGGGGGGAGAAAGCTCCAACCCCTGGGAAAAGAGTGAGACCAAAAGGACCAAAGACAGAAACAATATAGAAGCAGAGACAGAAACCACCAATGAAAAACAAAAATAAAATTTTGGTTGTCCACTGGCCTTTGCTGTGCAGGCAAGGATAAAGGGTCCCACCCAGGTCAACTTTGGGGCTGAGTCCCAGAGTCAGACATCATAAGAAGCAGCCTGTGGGTTTCCTCTCTGTGCCATTGGAAAACTGTAGGTGCAATGCTGGACCCTTTTGGGGGTATGCTCCCACCTGCCCGAATGCATCTGGGCTGGGCAGTGAGAGAGTGATCGGAGAAAAGAGGAAAAATATGTTGAAAATGAAAAGTGAAAGATGAAAAATTGGTCACACTTCTCCCTCCAGTCACATAGCTCTGCAACTTCTAGTGTTGGGTCACTGCCTCTGCTTGGCTGCAGCCCTGCCCTCCCTAATTCTGTCCTTTTATCTTGGGGTTTTACAGATTGTTCATACGGTTTGTCTGTCAGGCCAGCCCTGCTTTTTTTTGTTGGTAGGCAGAAGTAAAGGGTCCTGCACAAGTTAACTTTAGGGCTGAGACCCAGAGTCCAGGTAAGTTTTTTGTTTTGTTTTTTTAATCTATAGTAATCACTTAGTATAGTGGTTTGCTCTCCAAGTGTACTCATAGCTGTAATGTCCCTTATGACAGTTCCCTACTTCCCCACCTGTCTTTTTGATGAGTTGCATGGCATTCAAAGCCTTAGGGCCAGCCTGCTTCTTGGGGACTGACTGGGGTGTCCTCCTCCCTGTCCAGCCGAGTGGAGATTACTGGTGGGTACTACGAATACATTGATGTCAGCAGCTGCCAGGACATCATCCATCTCTACCACCTGCTCTGGTCTGCCACCATCCTCAACATTGTCGGCCTATTCCTGGGCATCATCACTGCGGCTGTGCTCGGAGGCTTTAAGGATATGGTAAGGAAGGATGGGACTTCTGTTCCACAGAGGCTCTTGTTGTGGGGTGGGGGCTGAAGCTAAGTGGTTGGGGGGCAATGGGGAGGAAACAGAAGCATTTTCCTCAAGAATATAAGGGCCTTCAAAATACTTCAACTTGAAGTAGCCATGAAAAGTTATCAGTCTGAAAATATTTCTTGTTGGCATGCATTAACTTGTGTCTTTGAGGCAAAATCTGGTTGGGGGTGGAGGCAATGTTATCAACTCTACCATTCACATTACTTATGTGAACAGAACCTTCCATGCTCCCTACCTGCCCACCTCCACCTTCCCCTCTCAACTTTTAGAAATCTTTTGGGATTAGTTTAGCACCTAACAGCTATATAGAGAGAAGAAAGTAAGTTTTTTTTAGCTATAGGTAAAAGTAATGCTAGTGTCCTCCTCTTATCCAAGAATTCCATCATGTTTTCGGTTTGTATTTCCAGAAAGAGCACCTGGGCTGTTTTCATTTTGCTAAGCTGCAGGCCAGGTCTTGCCTTACAACCTCAACTTCTACCTCAGCTTCCTCATATTCCCTTTCTTCCCTTTCTCTCTTTCTAAATCTGTGAGTGTCTGAAGGCACATCAGGAACCAGCACCCAGTAGGTGTTCTATACTGGTAGTTACAGTGGTTAAGCACTGGGCTGTAAACCCAAAGGGAAGCAGCTCTTCTAGAGAAAGATATGGCAATTGGCACGTGGAAAGACTACAGTCTTGAAAACCCTATGGAACCGTTCTTATAGCTGTCTTATAGGATCACTCTAAATCACCATGGTGTGGTGTTGTAGGACAAGCACTGGACCACAAGATCAGTTTGAACCACAAGGTTGGGGTTTCAAACTCACCAGCTGCTCTTTGGAAACCCTACGCAGGGTCTCTATGAGTCGGAACCAGCTTGATGGCACTTAACAACAGCCACAAGTCAGCATGGACTCAATGGCAATAGGATTGATTCCTTGCTTTTAAAACACTTTCAAGCATTTATTTTCCAATTTAATAAACCTTTATCCTTAACTATGAAAGGAAAGCATCACAGCTATGGTTCTCTAGATGGTTTCATAATAGAATGAGCCTGAGGTACTTAAAAACAAACAAACAAAACATACAAATGCCTAGATTCTTCCTCCAGAGATTCTGATTTAACTGATCTAAAATGAGGCCCCTGTATCAAAATTATTTTTAAAGCTCCGTAGGCAATTCTGAGCTGCACCCAGGGTTGAGTACCACTGCTTTAAAGGAATGTTCCATATCTGCTCAGGGAATTATATGTACCTGAAAGAGGCTTTCCTCTAACTTCTAAAATGAGGCAGACAGCCCCTACGCACTTTAGTGTCCTGTTTGGGAGTCCCTGAGAAACAGGAAACAGAAAGACAGTTTGCATTTTGATCCTGGCCTGTTAAAAGGATGTGAAACAAAACACAACTGCCACTTAGTTGATTCAGACTCAGTGCAACCTTGTATAGGGTTTCCGAAGCTGTCAATCTTTATAGGAGCAGAAAATCTCATCTTGTTCCCACAGAGTGTCTGGTGGGTTTGAACTGCCAACCTTGTGATTAGCAGGCCAGTGCTGATCCTACAGCATAACCAGGTTTCCTTCATTAAGAGAATAGGTAACAGAAAATGAAAAGTGAGATAGGACAAAGGAAATACAGCAAAACCTCTACTTTTAGGGCAGCAAGTCCCCAGTAGGACTGAATTGGTTGAAAGGATTGTGTGTTCCTGCTAGTGAAGAGAAATTCTTCCCTCTGTGCCCAAGTCTCTCTTTCTTTCTCATACACACATTTCTTATTCCCAGTGCCCTTTTACTACTTTGAAAGCAAAACCTGAGGACTAAGGATGGGGAAAGCATCAACATAGCTGAGATCTTCCAAATGAAACCCATTGCTATCAAGTCAATTTCATGTCATAATGACCCTATAGGATGGGGAGGCTGTAAATCTTTAAGAAAGCAGACTGCCACATCTTCCTCCTGCAGAGCAGCTGGTGGTTTCAAGCCTAGAACTTTAATCACTGTGACACAAGGGATCCTTTAGATGGGGCCTGTAAGTTAGGACCTGAGGGAGCTTATGGATGAATTGCTTTGGGAAAGTTATTTCTGGGTTGGGGTTTCTTTTGAGAAAATAATGACCTTTGTTCTGCCTGGAGACTTTCCCCCAGGGACAGGTAAAAGCAGAGGCATTGTATAGAATCTGCGTCTCTAACTCCCTGTGTTGGGAAGTTGAGGAAATGGGACATCTGGCAGAGTATGAGGTGTTCTCAGAATTGTTCCTAGAGCTTGCAGGCTTGGGTGGCAGAGCTAACCTATACAAATGGTGGCTACTTGGTGGGCTGTATGAGTTCCTGCAGTGCTCTCCCCACCCCGCCCCAATTTTACCACTCTGTAGGTCATGGAGGAGAGTCTTGGTGTAGTACTGTGGAATAAAGCACTGGGCTACAAGGTCAGTTTGAACCACAAAGTCAGTGATTCAAACTTACCAGCTGCTCCTTGAAAACCCTATAAAGGGTCACTATGTGTCAGAACCAATTTGATGCACTAAACAACAACAACAGGTCGTGGAGGGGCCCCAGTAGTGCAGTGGTTAAGCACTCACAGAGGTTGGCAGCCACTCCACAGGAGAAAGATGTGGCAGTTCTACTGTCTATAGAGGCACTATGAGTCAGAACCAATTTGACTGCATTGAATGAGTAGGTGGACCATGGTGCCAAGATGTCCACCAGTTTTTATTATTTACTGTAAGATAGATATTGTCTTCTTCCTCCTAGTCTACTTACAAAATGTATGTATTAAAAAAAGTAAAAGCTTATCTGACTCAGAAATGTTAATAACTGAAGTTACTAACCCTTCATTGTGAAGGAGTTGATAAGATCCTTTTACATGGTAGGTGTTGGGACTTGAAGATAAAGCTGAACAGCATTTTTCAAGAAATTTCTAGAAGCTGAAAGAGAGGAAGGAATGCTAAGGAATATAACCCTGTCAAGCTTTCAACCTTACCTTTAGACCTATTTTCCCTCACTATGCCCTTTCTCTTTTATTGAGGTTGTTGTTGTTGTTGTTAAGTGCCATCAAGTCTGTTCTGACTCATAGTTATCCTGTATAGGATTTCTGAGGAGAAGCTGGTGGGTTTGAACTGCCGACCTTGTGGTTTGCAGTTCAGTGCTGATCCTACAGCACTACACCAGAAGCTGATTCACATAATATACAATTAACTATTTTAAAGTGTACAACTGAGTGGTACATTCACAACATTGTGCAACAATCACCTCTATCTAGTTCCAAAACATATTCATCCCTAAAGGAGACTCCATGCTCATTAAGCAGCCATTCCTCATTCCCCCTTTCCCTAGCCCCTGGCAACCATTCATCTGCTTTCTGTCTCTACTGGGTTACCTATTTCAGTTATTTCACATAAATATTGTTGCTGTTGTTAAGTGCTGTCAAGTCGGGTCCTATCCATAGTAACCCTGTATAAGGCTTCCTAAGAGCCACTGGTTACCTTGAATCACCAAATTTGCGATTCAAACCGACTTTTAAGTCCAGTGCATTAACCCACAGCACCATACCAGGAATCATACTATATATGACCTTTTGTGTCTGGCTTTATTTACTTAGCATATTATTTTTTAGGTCCATTCACTTTTAGCAAGTATCCGTGCTTTGTTATTTTTATTATTCTTAGAGCTTTTTACGGCTGAATAGGAGTCCTGATATGGCGCTGTACGGTAAGCACTGGACTCCTAACCTCAAGGTCAGCTGTTCAAACCCACCAACTGTTCCTTGGAAACCTTTTACAGGGTTACTATGAGTAGGAACCTACTGAAAGGCACTTACTAACAGCAACAATGGCTGAATAATATCCGTTGTATAGATATACCACTTTGTTTTTTCATTCATCTGTTGATGTTGATTTGGGTTGTTACTACTCTTTGTTGTGAAAAGAGCTACTATGAACATCTGTGTTCAAGTATTTGAACATCTGTTTTTCAATTCTTCAGGGCATATACCTAAGAGTGGAATAATTAGGTCACATGGTAAATCTATGTTTAACTTTTTGAAGCACTGTCAAAACTTTTCACAGCAGCTACATCATTTTACATTCTCACTAGCAATTAGAGTTCCAATTTCTCCACATCCTCACTAATAGTTATTTTCAGGTTTTTAAAATTGTAGTCATCCTAGAGAGTGTGAAGTGGTATTTCACTGTGGTTTTAATGTGCATTTCTCTACTGATGAATGTTGTATATTTTCTTTGGAGAGGTATCTATTCAAGTTTTTGCCCCATTTTTAACTGACTCGTTTGTCTTTTTTTTTTTTTTTTTGCTGAGATATAGGGGTTCTTTATATATTCTGGATCCTTATCAAATATATGATTTTCAAATATTTTCTTCAATTTTATAAGATGTCTTTGCATTTTCTTTTCAGTTCTAACTTTTCATTTTGATTTGAGTGAAAGTTTACAAAACAAATGGACTTTCCATTAAACAACTTATTCACATTTTGGTTCATGACATTGACTGTAATTGCTACAATGCAACAGAATTCTTCCCACTTCCTCCCTGTGTTTACTGTTTCCATTCATAGTCCTTTCCTATCCCTTCCTGTCTTCTGAACTTTATTCCTGGACAAATCCTTCCCTTTTGATCTTGTATGAATGATTGTTCTAAGGAGTGCATACCTCTCTGGTGTTAAAGTTCACCATATGTTGTTGTTAAGTGCCATCGAGTCGGTGCCGACTCACAGCAACAGGGTTTATGAGGAGAAACTGGTGAATTTGAACTGCCAAACTTGCAATTTAAACAGACCTTTCTGTTCAGTGCTTATCTTACTGCAACACACAAGGAGTCCAGTTCAGCTTATAGGCCTGTCTATTGTGTAGGAACTCTGGTAGCGTAGTGGTTATGAATCGGGCTGCAAACCGCAAGGTCAGCAGTTCAAAACTACCAGCTGCTCCGCGGGAGAAAGAGGAGGCTTTCTGCTCCCGTAAA